GAGAATCGTGATCGTCAAGATTACCATTCGTCAATTATGTTAGGCGCAGTATCGTGCGTCATAACAAGACTATCACTAACAACGTTATGGGTCTTTAGCGTCACGAGGTTAGTGAAGGTTAACTCGAAAGATATTAAATATGATAGCATCATGTACCATACCACCCATTGAAACAAAGGGACAAATTAAAAGAAAGTATTAATCTAGAATATGAACCTAATATTCCGTTAATGTTGACGTCGGAGTTAAACCGCAGAATTACGGTGATTGTCATTAAAAATCATACACGACAATTATGACAATGATGTTTTATTTAGCAACTTTATCAAATATGTAAAGAAATTTCTCTTCGGCATTTTATTAATTTTTTATTTTTAATATAGTTTATTATTTTGTTTATTTACATGATTTATTATTGCATAAATGCGTGCGTAGTTCATCATTTAGTATATATTTGCCCGAAAATTAATTAAAGAATAAGAAAGTCCGATTGTAGCAAGTCTTGGTGATAGACTTACGGACTTTTAATAAAATATTATTATACTTTCAAACCTTCCTCTTATCTTCATATAGGCTCCGTTTACTACACAATTGAATCGTAAAATAAATCGTTATTAGTGATATATTATTCCCTTGAGAAAAGACTCCGGAATATCGTAATTGTTGTTCGTTACCTTTGGTTTCGGTACAATACACCGTCAGAAGACACGGAAGGGTATTCACATGATATTTTCAATTTGTTTCAAGAGATCATCGGTGAGTCTCGCACAAATCAAGCGAACCAAGAGGTCATCAAGTGTTATTACAATTTTTGGGAGGCTCTATCGAAGAGTATTGCACATGATGAAAAATCTTATCAACCGCGTGCTGCGGCTCGGATTTTAGTTTATAATGAGTTACGTCATAAACTTCCGAACTTTACCGAAGCAGAATTTAGTAAGAAAAGTGAATTGTCCGGTCTACAAACTATTTAGCATTGGTGAGGAAAAGATTTCAAAGGTATCATTTAACGCATCAGATATTTCGATGCTAAGTTGGGACGAGATTGAGAATACGATTGAGAAACATGTGGAGAATAGGAGTGATAATGACAACATAATCACGTTTGAGGAGATTGCGTGCCATGCTCACATGTCACATAGTTCTAAATGTACATACATGTAAAGAAAAATAATCATGTTATTAATATAGAATGTTTTCGTCAAATTTTTATCAAAAATTTGCTTATGCGAAATACCGTATTTCATAATTCTGATAATCTGATAATTCTGGCCAAAAAAAAAAAAATAAATCCCCAATGAGCTACAGTTACATCCGCTCTGTGAGATCAAAAATAGCAATTTTTTTTATGCAAATTATAAAATATGTGACCCTGATAGAATATTTCAAAATCATCTGATTAGTGCTCCGAGCCGGTCGAATCGACCCGGGTCATTCGACCCGACTCGAGAAAAAATTCGAGTCGGTACTATCAT